TTGTGTCATTGCAAACACAACCGTAAAAAATACCGAATACTTATGCACTCCAAGCTCGATGCAGTGTCGAAAGTAGTATCGAGTGAACTCCAAGACTTATCCCCAGATTGTCAAGTACATTGATCGAAAATCGCAATATAATATTGGAGAAGCGGTTACATGTATTTCCGTACCTCTCGGGACTTGTTGAAGATGAATCCGGGGATACTTAACTTTATTATATTATCTTACCTCCGTATATTGTATGTTGTATATTGTATATTGTCTTAACTAAGCGGGCGTAATCCCGTCGGCGGCTTTATATAACATAAGCGGACTAACCTGGGGATGCTCGCTCCGCGAATCTCGGTAGCGCGACATCGGGCCTACGGAGTATATCCCATGAATTAGACGGCTCTAAATGCCTTGTTCACATGGTAAAAAAATTCTCTCGTCTGGCTCGTATATGTGTTCTATATGATTCGGTTTATATTTTTTTCATTCTTTCACTACGGCTACTGACGAATCCTCGACGGCAAGGAGCAAGGACCGATTTCTATGCTTCTGGTGGATATGCCAAGCGACACGAGAATGGACTCAAACGATACAAGATGACGTCGTCATTTAACTACCGCTTCGGCATTCTCATGCGAAAGACAAAAGTCATATTCGGTTACATCTGATACCGACGTCCCAGCTGTTCGAATCGCATGTGTTGCCTACAGGATCGGATTTGTTTTTGATGAGGGAAATTAGGTTGAGAATCCCACTCCATTTCCCGCAATCACATATGATATTGATATTTATTGATACCGAATGCCGGACTTCTCGATGCACTTAGCACTCCGAGATCTCTGACCGACTTAGGTAAGATGAATGCACACCTTCTCCGTAAGAAGGGGGTGGTATTACATAGTACACGATAAACTCCGACGTGGGGTGTTATCGATGTTGACCCTCCCTCGCATCTTTAAACCCCCCAATCTACCAATCCAGTTTGGTGGGGGGGGGATTTCAGGTGAGATAGCTACCTAAACCGTACATTTGTATGTACCTTAGGTATGTAGAGATGGAGGGGAACAATAACTCTATTTAGGGCTCAAAGGAATCTCAAGACGAATCACATATGTTTGACTAGGACAAGGATAATAAGATGGAATCCTCTAGACACGAGATAGCCTGACAGCGTTTGAAGATCTGAGGAGACGAGGGAACGTTAATGTTTGCTCGTAGGGCTTATCATCCAATGGTGTAGGTACAGAATCTAATCAACTCCTACGGTAGGATATTATAGATATTATATCGGTCGATCATGTACATCACTGTCACTAATGTATCGTGCCCTTCATATTTGTGTAGTTATATACAATAGAAAATACATATTGACAGCGCCAGAGTCGACAGACCGCATTTTGGCTTGATTGCAACAGGAAAAACAGAAACGAGCTTCATTAGGTAGTTGAATAAAACTTCATATATCTGACGTAGCAGAGCTGTGTTCACATGATGGCACTTTGGAATCTTTGAAATCACCCGAAAGATACCGAACTCTTCTTCCATAGTTGCACCTTGTAACCACTTAATATGAACAAATGTATTGATCGCCGCGCCGCATCCTCCAGGTCTCATATGTGCCTCATGGTTCACGCTACACATGGCAAATGGCAAACATACCTATGTATGAGTGATTCCCGGTACGTCTTAATGGCAGTGCCTACCTACACTAGGCAACCAGCCGGGCTGTGTGGCTTTTTCGTGATGGACGATCGGGTGCGTGCGGACTTTAGTAGTGGATAGGCTCCGACAAGTTCCTGAAGATCAACTCGTGTCTAGCTTTTTGTGCTTCCATTAAACCGACCGTCGTAGCGTAGCGAATGACTCGTTTTGGTCACCAATAATGGCGGAAATGGCAGAAAACGGCCAATAGCTTCGGCTATTTCACGGCGCGACTCGATTACTGGTGGGCGAGCCGACGGTGATATACGTGATATACACGCCCCATTGAAGGGGAAGCTAGGAGGTATTTCGTAGACATCTTATTCGTTATCCTCGGTCAAATCACGGGAAGAGCTTTTCCCACGAGTGGCATTGCGGTATCGCGCCGTCGCGGTCGACACGACACGACACAACGCGAAAGCCGTTGCGACTTGTCAAAGTGTCAAGTGTCAAGTGTCAAGTCATATGGGAATCTGAAAATAGGTGATGATCTACGGCCCTCTTAAAGCAAACTTCTAGGCTCCCCATGGCTCCCCCATAGTAGACTTATACTATTACCCCTCCCAAACCCTTTGCGGGTGGCTTCGGTCGCGGTAATCTTGCCACCGTCTTGCCTAGACTTATCGGGAAACCCGGAAAATCCGGGGAGGGTAGGGTTTAATTGGTGATCTTTCTTGACTAGTTCCTCGGAGTCTAAGGAGCGATTAAAATGATAGGGACTCCAAGCTCTTCCATAATGGGTACCGGCAGCTGCAATACGAGGCGGTCAGTGAGGACCCGAGGGGTCCAAGCTTTCTTCTAGAACATCGTTGCAGCAACCTATTGGTTCTGCTATTGGTTCTGTTTGTACGGATTATATAGTTTGTGTGGTTGTTACCTGGCTTCTGGTAGGGAAAATCTTTACTGAAGGTCGAAGCGGTAACACGCATCCAATCCACCTTAGCTACAGTAGCTACCCTATGTGTATGCGTATGCGTACGTGTGCGTGTTTGAGGTTGTCTACGTATTTGCGCATGTTGGGCTGGTTGGCTGCCTATCGAGGTGCTGTTCCGACTAGTATACACTTACCGTTGATGGGAGGTTGATAGTGTAGAACCATGGTTTCAACCATGGTTGTAGTATGTATAATTGCGTACGCCAACTACAACGAGTACCGACCGGACTTCACCATAGAAATGGGAAGCTCAACAACGGGAACATGATCGCAAAATGATAGCTGACAAGATCGTAATCCGAGCGCGCAATCTAGTTTGTAATCACCTTTCTGCGCATGCAAAACCCGAAAATACTACTTGAAGGATTAGAGTAAGCAAGCATCGTGAGATGAGAAATGAGATATGAATCCAGACGCTATAAAATGTGTGTTACATAGGCGCGTGAGGGCGCACACAACCTTGACGAAGGTATACGATATACATAATACATTATACGTAGTTAATACATTAGTAGCATAGCATGCACACTTACGCACACACACACTTGCATTTTCAAATAATTCTATAGGCGGCATCAAAATGCGGAGTGGTGGTTGCGTCTGAGTCATCAGAGGAATCGTAAAACGGTCCCGTCTTGGATTACGGGATCTTGATTTGGGGATTTGGGATTTCTTACGCACATATTTTTAGGCACAAAATCAAACACCGAGGCACGTCGAAGCACATCAACGGCGCATCATCTAGCGGGCATCTAGCAGGTTGGTCGCAGAATCTCACCTATACGATTCGTCGTTTGGGCAGGCGGTCAGGAGAAAAAGGCCGGTATTGGCCAGCACAACGAAAGTGTGTTGCGGTCAGCCAACTCACCTTTTCCCTTCCCCGTTGGACAACTAACCGTTAAAGCCAGCTCACTATTGCTCAAGCCGCCGAGAGCTGCTGACGACCACCGTGGCGTAGGGGAAACCAGTTGCGAAAGATGGCCTCACCTATGACTCTGTATTTATGTATGTATTGTACATATACGACCACCCTGTCGTCATAGCGTCATAGTTGTTGTTGTTATTGTTGTCGGTATGAATCAACCAGAGACAAAAGGAGGGCGGACATGGGAAACTATTACCATTCATTTATCCTTGCAGCAATCAAATGAAACCAATTTTGGCTCGGGTCTTTAGTCCCTTGCTGCTTTTTTCCCCCAATAAGTGGCGCTCGGACGACGCAATGGCGGGAATGAAGTAAAAAAATAAAATAAAATAATTGGGATAAATGTTGGCTATTATTGAATAGCTTGGGGGGTAGGTAAATGAAGCAAATGCAAGCCAACGGGGACGGACGTGGGAATATCCCCCATTTAACTCATGCCCGAGGTGAATGGCTGCCCGAAGGCCAACCAAAGAGATGCTAATAGAAACGCCTTCTTCGTCACAGAAATTAGCGTGTTGTAGCAATAAGAATAGCAAAGGAACCTGTACTGTTGTAGATATGTGACTGATCCTTCGAAACAGGTCCTAAACAGAAGCAAACGGTGGTGGCTCGGCGTATTCTATGGTAGGATTTCCCAACGTGTAATTAACCCCCCCGTAACCCCGTAACTGTCCAGGAATAACTAGTGTAAATGCGACTTTCGGGCCATTACCACGTTGCTCTCTTTCGTCGGAAGCAAAGGAATTACTCATACATCCTGCTGTATTAGGGTTATTAATGTCATTAATGTTATTAGAGTTGTTGTGTGTATGCAGTAAATTACTCTACTTTCTAGTAATCAACCAGAAATGCCATCTTGCTACGTACGTTGTAGTACCTAGCTGTATTAACCTGCCGGCTATCTACATTTCTCAGCGCCACCTCCATCTTTTTCCCGTGCTTTTTCCAGAAGCGCAAGCGGGCAGAGCGGGTTACAAACTTATACTGTAACCCTGGAACTCCGGTAATAGGGTCTTGTAACTAGGACACAGGCAAAGACAAGCAAAGACGGGAAAGACAGGGCTAACAACTAGCCCAAAATAGGATGCTCGCTGCGCTGGGAAGCGGGAGATAGACCCGGCCGCGGCAGTCGGATAAGAAAATCGTGGTGGACCTCATTGAACCCTGATCGTCATTCTACTTTGCAGTACGCGGTAAGATATTCCACGGATCCATGGACCTTGTTTGATGGGGCCCTGCATCGCAAATCCCGCGGCCTGGCATTTTTGACTGTTTTCATTTCTTCCTTTCTAGCGTGTGGAGACTGGAGTCTGCAAGCGAAGCATCGGAGAAGAAAGGCGAAGCCCAACAGTATGCTGCCAGCAATGTTGTACATTCAGACCGATGAATGTATACTACATACGTACATACATACCTAGGTAGTATACAGGCTGCGGCGCTGCTTTGCTTTTACATAGTAGTACGTCCGTAACTGCGTAACCAAAACTAAAGACGCCTCAAAACGTTAGTCCTTCTTCTTTTGGCGGTGTCAGTTCCGTTTACTGTTTTGGCTATACGTGATTGGTAGGGTACAGCTCGGCGAGTGAGATACCCGTCTAGACGGTGCACGACCATTGGGAAATTGGGAATGGGATGGGGGTTTCAAAGCTGACTCCTGTTAAGGCGGTCTAGGCTGACTTAGTAGTCTACCTACACCTATTCCCTGCGTCCCGGGCCACACCCAAAGCATTCACCCCCCCCTTTCACGCATCCATGACAGGCGGTCAGCCAGGATCAGTTGCAACGTGGGGTGGAGCGAGGGACGGGGAAAACTGGAAAATAGGCATTGTATTATTATTTGTATATTTGTATTATTGTAACGGTCAAGAAAGCCTGCTGCCTCCGTGCGGCGATGAATCATGTCCACCACCACACCCTCCGGTAGTATATATATGTTCTCATGGCCATCCCATGCGCTCACGTCCCATGTCCCCGTCTCCATTACTCGATACCCCAGATTATTTATTAGTAGCCATAGAGCAGTAATACATACATAATATCCCATCATCATCATCTACAGCTCTCCACTACAGCTACGAGATATCATCCACTGACTTACACGCGAAATCGACCCGCAACAGCTTTGGGACGAAGACCCGCACTCACGAAGATCCCGACTCGAGCTTTATTTGAAGGAAAGGAAGATCTTTCGCTACGAAAACCCACATTCGAAATGTATAGCCCATACGGCTCTTACAGCTCCATGAGCGAGGTCACTCAACCGATGGAGATCCCTACTACCAGCTACCTCTCCAGCAACGGCGCCTACAGCGCTAGCTGCGCGTTCCCCTCGTGGCCGCGACGCTCATCTCTTACCGACTCGGCACACGAGCAGCGAGCAACCTCTTACCTCTCCGACGATGACCTCTTCCCTTGCGACCTGGAGGATGACGCGCACAGCATCTCCAGCTCGGGTAGCACGACACCTACCTCGCCCGTCGTCGCTAACGAGGTCGACCTGCTCCAGATGCAGCGCGAACAGATGGCTATGCAACGCGAAGCCATCAAGTTCCTTCTCAACGAGAAGGAGAGGAGGAAGCAGCAACTCAAGCGCCAACGTCGCAGCAGCGGCGGCAGTTCCAAGAAGAGCAGCCCCAAGTCTGCCAAGTCGGCGCACCTCGACGCCATCTCCGAGACTGGAGAGTGAGCACCCTTTTACTTTCGTGACAGTTCAGCGTTTTTAATGGTAAGTCGCTACAACATTCATACCTATAATCTATACACTTCACATCCGAATAGTAGCTAACCGCCACCAATGCAGAGTATGACTTTACAACATTTACGACCATTTATGATGATTATACCCCCCAAGATACCCCCGATCAAGTCACCAATAGACGAGTGACGCAGCGCCACGGATGACATACCTGCTCCGTCCCGCGCCACGCGGATAATGGTGATGAAGTGCTAGTGCACTTATTCCACCATGGCTTGCACAGGAATCATAGCCATTCCAGCGCCGCCGCCACCACCACCCCCATCACTCCCCCTTTATAATCATTTGGGAATATAGACCATCTACCCGCCGCCAGACGCCACTTGGGGCGATTCTGGGAAGACACATGTATCTCAGCCACTTTCGGCTTAGAGCATACACTTTCGCGGCAACATTTTTTGAGGAACGAGGAATTTGTACAAGTGCGTTGTTGTGTGTTGTATTGTGGAGGATTTTACCCTCTCAATCTACCTTACCTACCTTACCCACCCGCATTACCCAGAGGCTTTTCCCGAAGCAGGGGTGCGGGTTTTCGGTTAACTACCTACTGGAAATACACTATGTTTTCTTTGTTTTCTAAGATTACCGACGATGGCGGTGTGTAGCGGTCTAGCGGAAGGAAGAGGGGACGGAGGGAGGGGCCGGGAGGAAAGAAAATAAAAATTTCAGATGAAGCTAAGCTAGGAGGGTTTGTTACCCGTGTGTTGGGATTGATTGAATGGGCTTGGTGGAATGAACAAGGGGCCAGTGACGAATTGTGGATGGGCGAAGTCAATGCGGATGGACCCGGGTTTTCGGGATTTGGACAGAGCCAAAGGAATAAATTACAAGTCCCACAAAAAGTCCGGGTCGGGAGCCAATTGGGTTGTGTGGTTTGTGGCCGCTGGCTGGTCGGTGCGCATAAACAGGCCTGTGTTTGGAATGACAAGGAGATAGAGTGTGTGTGCACAAGTCCTTCAGTGAGGACAGTTGTGATAATTTACTAAACTAAATCAAATTTTACTAAAATCAAACAATTACATAACTACTAAGCTTTACCTAATGTCCGTGTCTGAACTAAAAGTGAATATCTTGAAACATAATTCCTTTAAGACACTATGTAGTTAACTAACCTAGCTAGTTACCACTTATGTAACTTATAGTCTATGTCTCTAAATAGAACCGGCAACATTCTTCACGATTCCGATATTGTTCCGTCTTGGGACATTTGCTAATCCGGAGATAGACAGTTAGGTATGTACGTAAACGCGAGGGATACCAAATTAGTAACTCTGGCCACCCGGGATCGCGTTTCAGGAATAGCGCGTAGATCCTACCCATATATTCCCATATATTTCCAATAACTTTATCAGACTTAGGGTTTGTCGAAGATCTTTGCAGGCGGGACTGGCGGGATGTACGCTGATCATCCTTTGACGGACATGGGGGCAAGCATTGCTATGTATGTATGGCTGGGCATGCCAACAGACGGACAGACTGGATCGACTTGCCTTATCAAGTTGTGTGGCTTGCAGGGAGAAGAGGGGAAACAGAGATGGGACATGGAGAAAAAGCCCTTGCCCTAACCGACCGTGGCATTTTTACGAGCAAAAATAGCATACAATATCATCATATCACATCGTTGTGTGGTTTGTTTGACGGTGGGGTTAAAGGAGCTGTTCATTCCTGAATACCCAGTGTATATCGTGGACGGTTTACGTGCGAGCGGGTGTCGGTGAGGGCATCCCGTTTGATAAGTTACCTCAGAGTGGATTCGTAAGTATAGAAATAGGTAGGTAGCTAAGGTAGCTAGTGATGCAGTCAAGAGGGTAATGCCGCACGCCTCGTTCACATGTAGGGTTATGAAGCTGTTTTGGTCCTTTCTTTTGAGACGGGAAGGATTTCAGTTGAATGGGCCGGCGTCGGAACGATGTAAGTAGGTATTGACGTTGGGGGGAGGGGGGGGCATAGCGGGCATCACCAATCAAGGAGATTTACGGTTCGTTGACCGACTATCGCTTGTCGCCGGTGTCGAATCGTAGGTATTGGTTGGTTCTTGACCGCCGGAGAATTCATGACTGGTGGTGGACTGGTGGTGGACTGCTGACGCTTGACGCTTAACTTTTGACGTTTTGACTCCACACTTCGATTGCTTTCCCTTAGGGCATCAAAAGCTCCGTAACGGTAGTTGGGCAGGTCGAGGCAGTCGATGAAACGAGTCGATCGTGGCAGTTCCGGAAGACTCCCAGTGGCTCAAATGCCCGATAAGTGGATGATAGGATCTCAGGAGCTCAAGAGCTTTAGGAACTAGAGCTTTAGGAACTATACCCCACACGTAAGGTAGCCCGACGACCTCGTCTTGTCTCACTCGGACAATCTGTCTGGCTGATAATCTGGTTGACAATCTGATTGTTCAACGGCGTGGCGCTCATTATCTCACGCTAATGATAACTCTATCACGACGTATCGAATCGCAGCCTATCACACGCCAGAGCTTGGCGTTCACCAGATCAGCACATGGTCACCGGACCCAGCCTCTAAGATTGGCGGCTGGGCTGCTGGGTTAGGTGATGAGGCGGGGTGAACATGTGTTAGGTAGAGTTGGTTCTCAGCTCTAAGAGGTTTATCTCACCGTAAGTAAATCGAACGTGTTCACAAAGTGACAACCCAATCTTTGAGACAAAAAATTGTGACGAAATCCCGACTCCCCTCCCCCCCCGCAATGAGGTATTTTAAACAAGAGCTAGATTGCTAGGTCATTACTGTTTTTGTGAAGAGGTCAAAGTTATCACCTTCGCCAAGCTTGTGGGCTTGAGACAAGGGCAGGGTTGAATCATTCGCAAGGTTTTGCTGCTTGGTTAGGTATTCCAGAAGATTTGCTCTTGATCACGTATGTAATCACGTACGTAGACCCGCTGCTAGATAATCCACAGTCCGGCTAGATGTAGAGCCCGTACGGACCGTCCCTGTTGAGTAGATGGATCGGGACGTAGCCGAAGCAAGATTCCTGTCTGCCCGTCCGCCCATTTGCCTCTCTAGTCTTTTGCTCGTATGTACTAAGTTAGGAGTGTTAGGTTATCCTTTTTGACAAGAGCCTAACAGCCTCTGAGCCTTAACATCAACATGCCATCAACGAGAATGTCTGATGTTGTTCTATATATAATATAAATATGTAGAGTGGTTGGTTAGTTGATTAGTTGATTGGTTGATTGATTGGTTGATTGGTTGATTGGTTGCTAGGGTCAAGGGGCACGTAGAGTCGGGGAAGGTATACTATACTATACTCATCACAGCTCTAAGAGACCCGACCCAAGTAATTTCGCAGCCTTGCGATGGCTAGCGTAGCATCTGTCATTTCGCATTCATATCGTTTGGTTGCGTTGTTGGCATGTCGATTGTGGAGGGTAGATGGTATCGTAACTACAATGGACTACAATGGGAGAAGAGATTTGGAGAGAGGGGGAAAGGGGGGGAAATGATTTCGATAAGTATCCCGGGTTGTACTGTATCCCCTGGATTTGCATCGTATCTTGGGTATGACAATATGCAAGGGACTGGCGGCGAGCAAGAATGCGTAATCGGCTAGCTTTTAAGAGTGAGGCTGCTGCTCGTCGATAGCCAAGTCGAAAGTCACAAAGTCACAAAGTCACAAGTCGCACGTCGCAAGTCGTAAGTCGTAAGTCGCAAGATTAATGCTGGCCGCCCGAAGAGCGACCTTGCGGGGTTTACATCGAAATGTTCCTAATGCGCGACAACCTGCAACCCCCCGAACCGATCCTGGGCATCGGGTTGTACGGGGGGGCATTGAATACGATCTCCTTACTAACTGTGAGGCATTTCACATATAGTATCTACGCATTCGTACGAGTCTGCTAGAAGTAGTACAATAACCCCAAGTCTGCCGCCTCGTTGGCGAGTTGGCGAGTTGTCGGTTGTGATGACTACGCATAAGACTACCTACCTACTTAAGGTACGCATGAGTGTATGCGTTTAAATTGATGAAGAGATGCATAAGACAGCTTCTGGAAATTCCGGCTGTGGGGACAGACGGATGACGTCGTTCCTATCAGATATTAATGCTGTCGTTACGATGTGATAGCCTGAAAGCTCGAGGCTTTATTGAGGCTTGATATTTTATCTTGAAGCATAAATAAATTATCCGCGTAGGTATCATCCGAGTCGCATGACTACGTCGCAAGAAAATCTTGCTTCAACCTGCTCAGTACCTGTTTACTTACCACCTGCTCACTCACTTACACTTACACTTACCAGAGGTACGGGTGTAGAATGCGTGTCTAGCATAACGAGATACCATACCATGCATATTTGGATCTTACCATGTTTCCTAATCGGGCACCATCTCTGCCATCTCTGTCTGCTACCAGCCTCGACTTTCCCCATCTTTCTATACCACAGCGCTTCTTGAAGAACATCTTTCTCGTACTCATTCCTATTTTAACAACAGAAGCATCTCGTCAGTGAGCAACAACAGCAGCAGCGACAGCACGGCGTCAGACGCCGTGTTCCTTGCTTTTTTCGGTTCAAGGTTGTAAGTGTCAAGGTTGAGTGCGCGGGACAAAGTGAGTACTACACGTGAGTAACGTGGGTGGGATGCTGGCACCCATCGGTGAGGAGACGCGAGAGCCACGACGTCCATGTGCGCATAGGATGATCTTGCGTACTTCGTAGTGGGGTTAAGTTATGAGTTCATGGTCATGTAGTCATGTATACATATGGTACTGTAGGTTTACATCCTGTCAGGGTCTCACGGGCAATCCTTGAAAAGGTCCACTGGTAATTGTTCGATGGAGAAGAGAAGGCGGAGAGTGCAGAACGAAGAGTGTGGATAGAAGGAGAGGGAGGAGGAATAATGTTAAATAAAAACTAAAGCATTGGACGTTGAAGTACGGATTATACATATCACATACAAAAATACTACGACGTTAATAGGTAGTTATAGGTAGTATAGGTAGGTAGTTAACTGGTACTTAAGGAGGTTAGGTTAGGAGGTACCTAAGTAGATTTTATTTTTATTCTTCTCCATTCAGGGGATTAACCAACCAACAACAACATTGAAAATTAAAAAGATAAAAAAATAAAAAAGATGGAATCGTTGTCGATAAACCTTTTTAACCCTTGCATCCATCTACCAACGAAGTTCCTCGTCACTCTCTTTTGCCGCCGCGCCGAGCCCCAG